CTCAGGGCTGCACCCCCAAAATCCCCAGGGCCAGGCAGGGACTCAGAGCTGGGTCCCTTCTCCTCCCCCCAGCCAGCCCCTGCTCCAGCTATTCCCACCAACCCAGAGACACCAGGTCCCTCACACAGGACGAGTGTTTATTCAGGGTTAATATTTATAGACAAACAGGTATTTTCTCTTCCCCCCCACATAGACTTAATATATTTTTTTAATATAAATAAACATTTAGTGCTGGGAGCTCCCCAGCTTCACCCACAGCAAAGTGCATCACGGCGCAAGGGGGGAGGTTGACCCCGTCCCTCTTCTGCCTGGGACCATCTTCCATCAGTTTCCAGAGTCCAAATCCAGCAGAGCAGGAGATGAACCCCATGAAAGTGCTGAGACCTGACAGGGTTGAGTCCTTCAAGAGCAGGGACTGGATGAATCAGTGGTGGGACCAAGCAGCCTTCAGGACATCCCTTGGTCCCAGAGGTGACCAAAACCTCTTGCTCTGCAGAGCCAAGTGGGGGTCCCTCCAGCCCCAAAGGAGAAAAAGTCCAGGAAAAAAGCTGCAAATTCATCTTCTGGTGCCATCCTCCCTGGTGAGCAGGACTCCTTCCAACAGAGCTGGAATGGGCAGCTCCCCAGCCTGGTGCCAGTGTTGGAGGAGGCAGGAACATGGGGACAAACAGCACCACTCAACAAGCCAAGAGCAAGGTAAGAAAGGGGGGTTTGGGGTCAGTAGAGTCCAGGGGAACCCAAAGCCTTCAAAGCAGTGTTGGTCCCACAAAGAGCTCAGCGCTGAGGACCTCCAGTGGGTTTGTCACCATCTGCAGCCCACCTCTGCTGGGTGAGGGCACTGGTGAGTCACCCCAGGGCTGTCCAGGGAACAGCTTTTCCTTTCTCAAGCAGCCACGGGAAAGAAGGAGCAGCCCCACATCTCTCTGATTCCACAGACAAGAGCTTGTCACCACTGGGTCCATCCTGATGGGGAGAAGGCCACCACCATGTGCCAGCAACCAGGGTGTCCTCATGACCAGGCTGTCCCAGGGCTTTACAATCCCTATTGGTGACCCTTTCTTAAAGATATCTGGTGTCACCAGGGGGTCAAGTGTCCTCCACGACCAGGTGTCAGGCAGGGGAAGGACCACGGCTGGACAGCAGGATGATCCAAGGATGGTGCTTGGTCCCACTACCACAGGGCAGAGGACACACAGTCTTTCTTCTCCACAGGCAGGGCAACACCTTAGTCCCACCAGGCCCATTTCAGTCCTCCTCCATCCCCACCGAGGGGCTACAAGCCTCAACGTGGGCTACTCCTATACATTGCACACAGTGAAGGTCCCTCAGGACCCAAGAGCTACTCATAAATAGGGAACTACAGACTCTACATCATCTCATACAGCTCACACAGTACAGGGTGGGGGAAAGCCATGGACACCCCCAGGGCACGTCAGCATTGGCAGGAGCCCAGCACCACCAGGTTAGGGCTTGGGCTGGTCAGGGGTGATCCTTCGCTTGGAGCTGTAGAAGTCTGGAAGGTAGAAAGAGAGGGTTGGGAAGTGCCTCCAGCCCATCAGGAAGAAGTATCCCCAGGGAAATGCCCCAAAAACCAGCCCAGGTGGGCTCCATCTTAGAGCTACCTGCCCAAAGAAACTGGACAGGAGAGCCTCTAGGTGTCCACCATCTCTTCTGTTGGGCTTCACCTGCATCTCCACTCCAGGCTCTGATCTCAGAGGACAGGCCCAGGCCATGGGGATTGGGGGATGAACTATTCTGGGCTGTCTTCAGCTATAAAGCCCACAAGCCCCATGTAAGCACCCTACCTACCCAACCCTCAGCAACCAAAGGCATCCAGTTCACAGCCCTTCCTGCTTGGAAGATGGGATCTGCTCCCCCAGGAGAGACTCCCATGGAAGGTGGTCCCCTCCCCACGCCCAGGAGCCAGGCAGGGCTCTTGCAGCCAAGTCCCCTCCCTCTGTCCCTACCAGGGGAGCCCTGACACCAACGATGCCACCCAGCACACATGGGGGGACACCAGGACACTCCAGCACTCACCTTTGATGGTGGTCTGTCCACGCTTCAAGCTCTTCGGGGAACCAGCCCTGCAAACCTCCGAGCTCTGCTGAGACCCTTCAGGGCAAATCTTGCCAAGAGGGTCCTTGGGGGGGACCTTGGAGCTCCTGCTCTCGCTGCTGATGGCCTTGACCAGGCTGTGAACTTCCTGGGCTGGCTGCTCAGGCAGGAAGACCCTCTCCCACTTGAAGTGTCCTTCCAAGGGAGTCTCCGTCTCAAAGTTGAAGTTCCAGCGCTGCTGAGCTTCCTCCAGGTGTTGCCTCAACAGGTCCTCAAAGTCATTCTGGAGCTGGTGGTGGTCCACAGGGCCGAAGAGGCTCCTGCACACCTTGCTGCTGCACGGCATCTGCCCAGCCCTGCTCTGGGACAGGGGCATCCTGGCAGCTGGAGGAAAGCAGAGCAAGTTACTGGGGGGTAACAAGCCACGAGCAAGCCCAAGGGCCAGCAAAGCACTCGGTAGCCAAGGTGGGACAAATTGGGTTGGGCTCTGCAGCAAGCCAGCCCAGAGGGGACCCCCCTCTGCAGCACCCAGCCTGGGCCCAGATTTTTGGGAGTTCAGCGGCGCCTTGGGCAGACACCCGAGCACGGATGAGGTCAAACAGGCTGGTGTGACACGGGAGGATGAGGAAGGGGCAGATGTTGATGTTCCTCATTCCTCCTCCAGCTAGACCCAGGGGAGGGCAGAGCATCTGGCTCCTCTGCCACCGTGCTGCCCCCAGCTCCATCCACAACCCCACCGTGCTCCCGCTCGGGCACAAGGCAAGTGGGCACAGGGGCCAAGTGAAGCAACAGGATGTTTTTCTGGGCAGTTTCTTCACCTCGAGGAGAACCCAGGCACGGTGGCAAGGAAGCCTTTTAAGCAACTGCAAGAACACACCACAACCTTGACCACTTCGTTAGCCACCCTCCTTATCTGCAAGAAGCTGTTGGGCAACCAGAGGCGAGACCCTGTTGGTTGGTTTGTTTTCAAATCGGTGCCAAAAGCCTCGAACTTCCCAGGGGGTGCTGAAGCTTCTGCCTCCGAGGAGCCCGGCCCTGACACGGGTGGGGGCTGACGGGTGCCCTGTGCCACCCACCCCCATGGGTGCCCTGTGCCACCCGCCCCCATGGGTGCCCTGTGCCACCCGCCCCCACCACCCGCCGGGCCGAGGAACTCGTTAGCTGGCAGAGCAAACGAGGCTCTGGGGTGTGATGGCTTCACCCTGCCAAGAGCCACGCTCACTGAACCCATTTAAAAAGACAGATCCACAGGACACCCCCCCGGGTGTGTGCTGGGTGCCTGTCTCCTTGCCCTCCCCACTGGGACCCCCAAAGCCAGGGCCACAATACACATC